TTTTTTTTCCTTTACTTTTTTTTTTTTTTTTTTTTTTCTCTTTCAGAGGGGATTGTATGATGAAAGGCACTATATGGGTGTTTGCCAGTTTATCTTTTTCTGTTGTTACATTCAATAGTTGTTCTTAATTATAAAGTATGTTTGAAGTACTAAATTTTGTGAATATTTAGTTTTACATCTAACAAATGACTATTATTATTGTATACATTTCCCATATCACATGATTGGTGCAAGAAGAACGATTTCAAGAGGTGGAAGATGTGATGAAACTTTCAGTGCCCTGTTTTTATCAAATCAATAGATCCACATTTAAAATTTGAAAAGATATAAGGATAATGTTGGCAGAGATATTCAAAGAAGATCAGAGAAAAGAAACCACTCAGAGATAATAGAGATATTGAGAGAAGAGGAGGGAAGAGATATTCGGAGATGACGAAAATAAAATTGACAAGTGATAATGGAGGGATATTTGAAGAATATGAGAGAAAGGAAATTATAAATTAGAGAGAGGAGATGCATTTATAGATGATGTGAATTATTTTTTTCCCTCTGCTTATACAATTAAGCATTGTGGATTAAAATTTTTTGTAGAGGGACCAGCTAATAACATTTTGTTGATAGTAATTTCACACTAAAGGGGTTTTTAGTATGCGAAATGTTTTTACTTTCCTAGAAATCTTAAACCGAAAATCTTGATTTTTCATGTTTGATAGTTATTTTAAAAAAAAAAAGATTTCCAAAAATATAATTTTTCAAGAACTATTTTTATCCCACTTTCTTACAAAAATATGCTAGGGGGGTCGGAATTCAACTTTCTTGAGTTAGGAGATAATTTCATGCATATAAAAAGAACATAGTATCGCTTTTTGACGTAAAAAAATCTCTCTCTCTCTCTCCCCTATTTCTCTTTCTCCCTCTCACTCACTCTCACTCCCCCTCTCTTCCTCTCTCCCTCTCCCTCTCCCTCTCCTCTCTCTCTCCCCTTCTATTTCTCTTTCACCCTCTCTCTCACTCTCACTCTCACTCTCCCTCTCCGTCTCTCTCTCTCTCTCTTTCTCTCTCTCTCTCTCTCTCTCTCTCTCCTATTTATCTTTCTCACTCTCTCTCACTGTCACTCCCCTTCTCTTCCTCTCTCCCTCTCCCTCTCCCTCTCCCATATCTTTATTTCTCTCTCTCGTTTTTTATATTTTATTATAATAATATTATTAAAGTGTTTTATTTCTATAATTTAATGGTATTTGGTAAAACATTAATTTATTTACTTGAATGAAATGAAATAATATAATTTTATCCTTCTTAATTATTATGTAGCATTTTTCCTTGTTTATTTCTTGTTTTTAACTTTTTAATAGTTTAATGTCATATTTATAATAAGATTTGAATAATTAAGTAAATCTAATAAGTTTATTTTAGTAAAGGATATTTTTGTAAAAGGTATTTATATACCAAGGAATATACTATTTTAACCAAATACAGAAATCTTTAATTCTCAAGAATCCTATATGACTATTCTCATGTACCTTTATAAGTGACCAAACATATTTTAGCTATTTTCAGGAATCATGATTCTCAAGATTTGTAATTTCTAGAAATCATGATTTTTAGGTATGAAAAAAATTTTCTCCTACCAAATGTCTCCTAATTGTCAAAGATGATGTGATCTTTTATCATAGAAGACATAAAACCATTTTTTACTAGCATAAGCTGTACTTGATAATGTGAAGCTTCTTAATCCTTGGGCTTTTGCGTGCTAGAGCTTACATTAGTTCCAGGATTTCTGTTTCTCTTATTGATATTGAATTACTTGAAAACTATTCATATTGGGTTCTGGTTACCCTGGTTTGCTTATAGATTGAACTATATTTCCAAAATGTTCTTGCCAATTGTATCTTGATTTGTATACTTTTTTTGCTCATTCTTATTACTCTTATATCCTTCTACTCCTTCTTTAAAGGTTCTCCTTGTCTAGTGCATCTGTTGTTTCAGCTCTCAGTCTTACCCTCAACTTTTCTTTACCTTGTTGCCATTTTGTGCATGTTAACTTGTATATCTGTAAATGTAGGTACTTTTCCCCTAATTGAAATAATACATGTGCATTATATGTGCCATGATCACACATTCTTACCTGTTTGGGTAAACAACTTAATTAAGGACATATTGAATAAATACTTATTATGTAAGCACCTATAGTTGTTTTTATAATCGAAAGGAAATTGGGTTAAACTGTTCTCATAGAAGCTGTAAGCTGTTTTAACTCTTAATAAGTTTATGTGGGAAAGTCTGTGGGCCAGTTTGTTTAAAATTTAAGTGTTTCTAAAAATAGCACTTTTCAAAAAGTCAATTCTTTAAGAAGCAGATAGGATTTGTTTCTTGAAAACAAGCAGAAAATTGCTTTTTCTTTTATTTTAAAATAAGGAGTTTAGACAAACAGATCAAAAAAGTAAAAAACTGCGGATTTATTAAAATAAGTGCTCTTTTAGGGAAACAAAAAGTATAAACAAACAGGCCCTGTATAACTAAGCTGAAACACAGCTTATGTCGTGATATTTTCATAAATTCACCCAAACACATACAAAGTGCTTATGTCATATTCTATGATATTTTCATAAACTCAGCGAAACACATACACAAGTGCTTATGTCATATTCTAAGTCCAAATAAGCTAAGCTCTTCCAAATGACTATTCTTCCACAACTTGAAGCCACTGTTCAAAGCTAAAGCAACACTTCATTGGGCCTAGACGAATGGATGTTCTGCACATACTCTGGATGCCCAGGTTAAAGCTTGGTGTTAAAAAGATCCTTTTGTCACCAGGGAAGTTACATGCTTACTATTGTCATCAGGATTGACACACCACTTCAACCTAGATTATCACCGCCTCAGCCCAGCACTGGCTACTTGTCTTGTCCAATTTAAAGATAAAGATTTGGTTTAGCAAGTCTTTATTATTATAATTAGGAATTAAGAGTAACACCTTTCTTTAAAGAAAGGACTGAAGAATAAACACAACAAGAACCAACCTTTTTCCCATTAGGTGGGGTCAGCTGCTTGAATCACATGACACCATAATATTGTATTGTAAATCAGGTCTATAGACAAACCATTGACCCCTACATTCTTCTTAATGGTCTTGCCTACAATGATTTATTGTAGATCATGTTTTTAGAATAAAGATATAAGGTTGGATTTGTTTTGGAGAATGATGTTACATTACTAGGAATAAATTATGTTTTGAAAATATATTATGTTCATGTTTGATATCTTGTATCATTTAAAACTTATTTCTAGGAATATGTAATTATGACAGAAATATTCCCAAAAAATATAAAATTATCTTCTTTTTACCCACAGTCCCGCTACCAATTTTTGTAAGACTTCAATCATTCTCATGGGAATAAATTATTCTCACCTCTCTCAGTGGGAATGAATTGGTGGCATTAATGTTCAAAACATATTCCTGGTAATAATTTTTAGATTGGAATGCTTTTGAAAAACAAAACGAATGTAGGAATGTTAAATACCCATCTCAATGTTCCTGGTAAGGTAAATCTAATCCCAGAAACGAATTCCTCCTAAGAGGTGAAAAATATGTCAAAAGGCTAAAAGTGAAGAGCAAAAAGAACATTTGAGGAGAAACCATCAAAATAAGAGTTTTCAAACCTTTGTGATTCAACTAGGGAAACACCTCCAAAAGTTATAGAATCTGATATTTATTTATGCAGTTTTCTCTATCTTCCTAAGTTAGTGTGGTCTTTTTGTCTACATGCATAGGATTAAAATACAGTTTTTTTCCTTGTAAAAGTGAAAGAGAAATACTCTGCCAATGATTTATTAGTTTCAATTTTCATTATATGTACTAAATAGTAAATATCATATTGCCTATAATTCTAACAAATTTTCATGCATAAACAAATATATTCTAGTTATAGAGAAATAAATAACAGTATAAAACTAACGAACATTGAAAGATTTTACAAACATTTAAGAAGCCAAAGCTATTCAAAATCAGACATTAAATCCTCACCAAATGACAATAAAAGAAGTTCTAATAAGAAGAGAAGCAAAAGATCCGAATCTCTATTTTTAAACATACAAGATAAAAAAAAAGCTGAAAATTTGAAGATATATCGGTATCCTTAAAAGTGTAGAAATGGATTAGAATTTGGTGCTTGTACTTTGGCATTGAGCATTTCACTAGTTTTTACTTACTGAGATGCAACTCTCTCTTGAAGAAAATGAGATATATGCATCATTAATTGGATTTGAGGGTAAATTTTGAACATAGATTTGATCATTGTGTTTTAAATGCCAGTTCCTAACCCAGGGAGGAGAAAAGAAATAGAACATATAAAGTATTGCAGCCATTTCCTTTATTGCAGTTGCTTGATTGTTTTATGATTCTCTCCTTTTGCATTGGAAGTAGTTAGACAAGCCTTCATATGTGGGGTTTCAGCTAAGGGATTTTGAAGGATTTCTATGATGACGTGATTTGAAGGTCAATTCCATGGCAGAATTTCAATGATTTCATTGTCAATCTAGTTGCTATGGAACTTGGGAGGCAAGAAAACTTGGGTACTGGTTATATAAACAAGGTGTTTAGTTGCGAGATATTTGGATGTTGACTAACTTTACCTCTGCCAATTATATATGGAATGAAGGGCTTCATGTCTGAATGATGTGTTTCTTATGGGCAAGTATTCCATACAATAGCTTTTAGATTGATGGGTTCCTTGGATCTGACCACTTGTCTCTGAATTTCCAGAATGTTTTGATCAATCATATCATATCTAATCAGGCACTTTTGGTTTAAGCTTTAGTACACCAGTAGGGTATAATCAAGAAATGGGATCAGTATAATTTTAGATAAGCATTGGAAGAATGATGTAGATGCAAGGTTAAAAGATAATATCATAGCTCTAAAGTTTGTAGTGTAACAACATACTTATTGTGTGATCAACACTTATACACCTTAGGTAGGGTTGGAAGAGCACATCAAGGTGAGACATTCTTGAAGGATTTATAAGGTTTAGGTCAGGGAATACCATTAAGAGATAAGGTTTTCCTAAGGGACGTACATGGTCATGTTGGGAATGAACATAGATGATACAAGGGTCTGCATGGGGTTTTAGCCTAGGGGAAGCAACTGTAGAGGGTGAATACATCCTAAGATTTTTCACAGCTTTTAATTTCAAAGTAGCCAACTTGTTTTAGAAGTGAGTACATCTTGTCTCGTCATGTACAAAAGCTGTCGCAAATCAAATAATTTTTTTTTTGTGTAAGGAAGTCAAATAGAAAGCTTTATGGATTGCAAAGTCATATACCCAGAGAGGGGTTGATTACCCAACAGAGTTTTGTACAAAATATAAGTGTTTAGAGGACAGTAAGTAAAAAAAAAAAAAAAAAAAAAAAAAAAGGACAAGGTCCCAAGTGAATCACTTTATTTTAAAAACACTTTTTTTAGTTTTAAAAAAAGACCCCTTATTTGGTTCTTAAAAAAATCACTTTTTTATTTTATTTTAAACAAACTGGCCCAAAGTTGGGGAAAGAAAGACAAAAAACTTGGACCAAATCAAATGCATTAAGAATGAAGGTAAATACTTGGTTATGGAACAAAATATCATGACTAGATGAAATAATTACTTTCACAGGCTATTAAAAGGACGTGAAATCTTAACACAGATGAGGACCAAAATTATATCTTTTTATCATAAAATTGAAGGGCCCGAGGTAAAAGAAGTTTTTAAAGTATGGATAATGACATAGTATTTGAATTGGATAATATACCTATGACGTATCATATGGAAGGCTCTAAATGAGAAAGGTATTTTAGCTGTTTAACAAAGTTTAATTAGTTTGAGTCTAATAAAATTGCAAACAAGTGGTGAAGATAAACTAAGATAAATGCAGAAAGAGAGAGACAGAGATTTGATTTGGGAATACAAAAGTATTATTGCACACGTTTTTTAATTACATGATCTATATTTATACACTTCACTATAGTTTACATAGGAAGCTTTACAAAGCTTTCACTAGAAGCTTAAGCTGACTCAGCATTACTAACTGACTGACAGTTTACCATACTAACATGAATACACTATCATTTCCCCCCTCAAGCATACGGTGGTTTAGGTTGAAAGCTGGTAATCACTTTAAGTTTGTCATGAGAGGCAGAGAAACTTGCAGTAGATAGTGGTTGGTTAAGATATTAGCAATTTCATCTTGAGCAGGAATGTGAACCACTAATAAGAACATTGCAATCTCTTTATCTTGCACAAAAAAGATGTCTAGCTCCATATGCTTGGTTCGTGAGTGAAGAACTGGATTATGAGTTAGAGCCACTGTACTTTGATTGCCACAGTGAATAGTAGGAGTGGAAGACCTGACTTGAAGTTCAGATAAAAGGGGGATTGTACCCAAAGAATCTCCACAACAACAAGGGAAAGACTTCTATATTCTGCCTTGGCACATGAGTGAGCCACTAAGGTTTGCTTTCTGGACAACCATGAAATTAAATTGGTACCAAGAAAAATACAATCCCCTGATGCTGAATGTCTATCATCAAAATCAGATGTCCAATCTGCATCACTATAAGCATGAAGAGTGTAAGAATTATTTAATCATCTGGGTGAAATATTAGTCCAAAGTCATGAGTACTCTTTAGGTATTGAAGGATTCTCCTAACTGCCTTCTAGTGATTTTGTAGTGTCTGAGCCATGAACTGACAAACTTTATTCACAATAAAGACAATCTCAGGCCTTATCACCGTAATATACTGTAGAGCACCAATAATAGATCTGTATGTAACAGAATCTTCAACATAGCCACTTCCAAATTGAGATAATTTCTGACCACTAGGCATAGGAGTAGAACTACCCTTTGCTTCAAACATATTGGCTTTATGTAGTAGATCACAAGTGTATTTTGCTTTTGATAGATGAAGAGAACTAGAGGGAAGCTTCTTAGCCTCAATCCCAAGAAAGTAGTCCAAGTCTCCCAATTGTTTGAGAGCAAAGACTTTGCTCAATCTATCTATCAAAAGTTGAACAGATTTGGCTGAAGAACCAGTGATGATTATATCATCAACATAAACCATAATGTGTGTGTGTGTGTGTGTGTGTGTGTGATTATGAAGGATGGAAGCAAAAGCTGGCTCTATTAAAAGCATTGTAGGTTCCAAAATGATTTATTCTCCCAACAAAAGCTGAGTGTGATAGATGTCATCCATATGCAACTTTTAAGCAAGGTAGAAAATGAGGATTGGGTTTAGGGTTTGAGTTGAGTAGTACTCCTTACAATATTTATTGATCAAGTTGATTATTCATTTTTCTCTTTTTTCTTCAGACATTTGCCTATAGGTCACTGTTGGTTGCTCAACGTCAAATTCTAATTCTCTTTTTATTCCTTAATGCATACCTGGTTATAATGTTACACTTACATTTGATCATCCTATGCCATAGAGATAGTCATTTGAAAGTAAAATAAATTACCACTTGTCAGCTAGGGTAATGTCCTAATTCATAATTGCCAAGTCTTCGTTCCTGTAAAATCTTAAATGATATTCAAATTATTAATTTATTAACCTAGTCATTTATTATAGTTCTAATCCTAAACTACAAACAATTTATCATTATTTTATCAATACCCTACCAATCCCACTGAAGTCTTGAGAAAATATAGCTTTAGGAATGCTAACTAGACAATTTCAACTAGATATATACACCTATTGAGAAATAGCATCCTTTCAATTATCTAATTTTATAGGCAAACTTTTCAACCTTGGGATCCCAAAGAAATATGTAGTCCTAATTATTAAGCAGCCACCGCAAAATCTCTGCCAAATTCTTTTTGATGATGATAAGATGTAAAACTTGATCTTAATTATGGGTATAGATGTAATTTGAAAATTAGGCTTTTTAATTTGGGATGTTCAATATTGTTGTTTTGAATTTAAGTCATTTTCTTTTAGTATTGATGTTAAGTTGGGGTTTTCGTTCTATTAGAATTGAGTTGGAGTTTCCTGTATAAAGTTTAGTATTTGTCTTAGGAATTTTGGATTTGTCATTTGAAGGTATCGATAGTGTTGGTTGATCCATGTGGAGTCATCACTCATCAGATAATTAGGAGATTTGCATGGGTGATAATATATGTTTTGATGTTTCTGTACTAAGTTCCATTTTTGCTATCTGAAACTGTACTGAACAATTTGAACTAGCCATATAATCCTTCGTTAGCTCCTATGCTTAAGGTTGCATTTTAGAATCTCTTACAAACCCTCTTTCCTGGATGCTGTGTTCTGCTTTGCCTTTCTGTTGTATCATTGATCCAGTATTTTTATTGATTGCAACTTCTTTTGAATGATGAACAGAAAACAGACTTTTGTTTATACAATGACCATCCTGCATTTACTTTCTATGGCATGGAAGACATCTAATGTTCGTATGTTATTTTCTTGTTTCTGCATGTATTGACAGGTATTAGAAGCACATGATGATGAAGTATGGCATGTACAATTTTCGCATAGTGGGAAATATTTAGCTTCAGCATCAAATGATCGAACTGCAATCATTTGGGAGGTAATATCTGATGGCAAAACATATGCTTCTGTTCTATTTTTATCATCAGACCCTCTCAATGGACAGATTAATGGTAATTTTTATTCATGTCACATACACGAATGGCATATGATGACGTTAACTGCTCCTTTATGACTACGAGATTGCTATTTCACAGTTTCCGGTTTCTTTTTTTTGATTCTTTTTATCTTTTTTTATTATAATATTTAAACCTCTGACACCCCCATTCCCCTTATTAACTATTGTCTTTTAATTTTTAAACTGCTTCTGATTCATTTTGTATTTTTTTTTTTTTTATCTTTCTATAATCTTTTTAATCTTTTCCTTTTCAGTTACTCACCTATGCTTTCCCCCTTATTAACATTATGTTTTATGTGAACGGGAATTCATGAAGATTGCAAATTCTTCTTTTTAAGTTCCCACTTCCCTCTCAGATTTGAACCATTCTTCTATTACTTCTCAGTTCTTCTAACCATTATTCTTAGACTCAGTTCTTCACTTCTTGATTATTAAAATTAATTATAACTATGTCTTTACTGTTTAATTGTGTATTTCTATTATTCAGTATTTATGTCAATGATATAAATTTATAAATTATGTATATTGTTTTTGGACTTTGCAATAGGTATCCATCCTACTTTCTGCTATCCCGCAATAGCGATTTTGGAAGTGGCTGCTCTGTGCCACTATCGTGATTGACTACTTAATATTTTCTCATACAACCCTTTTATCACTTTTTCTTTTTATCTTTGTGGGCGAGAGACATTGAAAAAGAAATTAAAAAATTACTTCCTATAGTAATCTAGCGCACTATAGTGGAATAGCTGAATAGAGTGGCCTGGGGCTGCTATGGGATTCAAACAGTGGATAATTTCTCGATAGTGACTATGGCTTTTCACATGATATAGTATCGCTATGGTAATATAAGGCATCAAAAGCTCATTTTTTACACCCGAAACAACTTTGTTTAGTGTGGTATTGGGTAAAAATTGTGATTTCTACCTCTTTTCCTAATGCATTTTATGCTTCAGAAACATTATAGGATTTGAAACCCTTCCTTGACCATTCCACAAAAAGTTACCTGTGTTTTGACTTTTGTTCCTTTGCACTTTACAGGAATTTTCCCCCGTATTCTGTTCTGCCTTCCTTTAAACATCTGAGTACATATTTTGCTAAATTTCATCTAATTTTTTATGCTCTTTCTGTTAATTTCACCATCATCTTTCATTTATTGACTTCATTATGTTTGCTCCTAGATTGTTGGTGATTGTGTAAATTGTGACTTGTTATTTTTCATGCACTTAATTATTTGTTTAGATTTGTTTTTGAGTATGTGTTGTATAAATTATTTATTTTAAAATAGCGGCTATCCCACTATAGCGTTTTCACTATTGGTCATTAAGCACAAGTATCCCAAATTGATAATTATGTTATTTCCAAATATTTTTAGCTAAAACAATTATTTAAGTAATATTCCACTAAAACTTTGCACTCCTTTGTCCTTACTGGACTGTGATCTGTTGATAGGAATTGTTTTTGGTTGCTTCGTGCATGTTTGATATATCATGCTTCTGTAAATGTTGGTCAATGCACACACTCGTCACACACAAGACAAATCGTACTTAAAACTGTGCAATGGTTTCATATTTTTGCCTTTTCTTTTATTAGGTCGACATGGATGGTGGACTGTCAGTCAAGCATAAATTGTCTGGTCACCAGAAACCTGTTTCTTCTGTTTCATGGAGTCCTAATGACCAAGAGCTCCTCACATGTGGCGTGGAGGAGGTTGTTAGGCGCTGGGATGTCTCTACTGGTAAGTGCCTGCAAGTTTATGAAAAAGCTGGTCCTGGCCTGGTCTCATGTGCATGGTTTCCAAGTGGGAAATATATTCTTTCTGGCCTCAGTGATAAGAGCATTTGCATGTGGGATTTAGATGGGAAAGAAGTGGAGTCTTGGAAAGGACAAAGAACCCTCAAGATTTCTGATTTGGAAATAACAGGTGATGGGGAACACATGCTGAGTATTTGTAGAGACAATGCAATAATGTTCTTCAACAAAGAAACCAAGGATGAGAGATTTATTGAAGAGGACCAGACAATAACTTCCTTCTCTTTGTCAAATGATAGCAGATTCTTGTTGGTTAATCTTTTGAACCAAGAAATTCATCTTTGGAATATAGGTGGTGATCCTAAACTTGTTGGCAAGTACAGAAGTCACAAACGCACACGGTTTATTATTAAATCTTGCTTTGGCGGACTTAAGCAATCTTTTATTGCTAGTGGTAGTGAGGATTCGCAGGTATAAGTTTTAAATTGCCGGTCCACAAATACAAACTATTTTTTTTTTGTTGTCTTGTAGGCAGATGATTTTGGATCCTGATCCTCTTCGATCATTTTTCTACGCAGTCAACACAATTCAGAACTGTCGGATGATTATCAAATGACTCATTTTATCTATTTTAAATTATATGTATTTGTCTGATCTTCATCCAGCAGTTACAAATTTGCTGACTGCATGAAAAACTGACTGCATCGAATCCAGTTCCTTTTTGGATCTGAAAATTTGGACAGAAAGCCAATTTGAGTTTAATGGGTTTGTGTTTTTGTAGGTTTACATATGGCACAGAAGCTCTGGGGATTTAATAGAGGCATTGCCTGGTCATTCTGGAGCTGTTAACTGTGTGAGCTGGAATCCAGCTAACCCACACATGTTAGCCTCAGCCAGTGATGACCGGACAATTCGGATATGGGGCTTAAAGCGCCTGAATGTAAAGTATCCAAATGTACGCAGCAATGGCATCCATTACTGCAATGGGGGCTAACTTTAGATGAACTCAAACTATTTCAATTCCATTTCTTTTTTAACATTGCAATTGTGTAAATACCTTCACTATCACAAGTAGACATTCATACCAAACATGCATCTGACTTGTCATCAATCTCAAATAAATTCTTGTTTCATTTCGGCCTTTGGGTTTTCTGTTTTGTCCTTAGCTTCATTAATTGATTCTCCCATGTGGTTTCCAAACTCGCTTTTACCAGCATGTGATAGGGTCTGGTTGGATAAACTATTCAATGAGAATTTATAGGAGAACAAAATTATGTCCAATATAGTGTTTGGTTGGAGGAGAATGAGGTGGAGGGATATTTTTTACATGCCTTGTTTGGTTCAAATTTTAAAGGGGAGAAGAGAGGAAGCAAAATTTCTCTTGATTTAATTTTAGCTTCTTCAAATATCGGGGAGAGGGGGGAGGTGATTCTAAAACATTTATATTATAATATTTAAAATATTTTTATTTATGTTTTTAAATTTAAAATTATAATGATATAAAGATAAATTAGTTATAAAATCTCTTTTTCTTTTGTGAACCAAACAAAAAGAGTAGCATATGCTTTGCTCCCTTCCTCCTTTCTAACTCCTCTTCTCTTTAGTAAAATCTCTCTCATCCTCTTCCCCCGTTTGAACCAATCAGATTTCAAGTTAAAAGAATAGTTTTTGAAGAAATTAATGAATTTTTTTAATTAGATTTTATGCATGGTAATTTTAGTTTATAGATAAATTTATTTTTATTTTTTTTGGAAAAGTTTATCTAAATTGAATAATAATATAATTTCTTATTGTGAAATTAAGACACAAGAAAGGGATTGAATTTTGTTTATCAACTACTTTTAACAATTTTTCTCCAAGCAGTGATGTAACAAACAAACATTTTTTCTTCAAGCAGTGATGTAAACAAATAAATTGAATGGTGTAAATGATATAATAAATGCATATTTTATATTAGTTCATTTCAATTATTTGTCTAGTTTTGATCAATTTAATTAAATTTTATTATCTTTAAATAAAGATATAAAGTTTTATTTTTAAAGTCATTATTGGCTTAACTTAAATATTTTTGGACATGTCTTTTCAATCAAATTATTCGAGTATTTTTTTTAAAAAAAATCTTTCTAGGCTTTACACCAAATATTTTTTAAACTAAAGTTTTACAATTTTTAAGATAAGTTTTAAGCTAAGGTTGAGTTAAATAAGTTTTATCTTGTGAAAAGTATACATGTTTATATATATATATATATATAGAGAGAAAAAAAATGTGTTCTCGAATCAAAGTGGTGACTCTCTTTCTATGATGTCCAAGCTCCACATTTATATGTAACTTTTGAAGATAGTTGTTATAATCTTACAAGTTTCTTTTGTAGACTTGTTTCATCTCTTTTATTGTTACAATGGTGCATTGAACATAATCATTTAATGCATTATACCAAAATATCATTTATTTGATATAAGATGTTGCTTATTAATTTTAAGTACATAAAAGAATGAAACAATCTGGTGTATCCTAAACTGCTATGAGTTGACCACATTCTTTTCAAGGAGCATTTTTTTTTTTTAAAAAAAAAACATTATGCTTCCTTAAAGGTGGTTTCTAATACCTAAGAAACTTGTATTTCTTCGATTTGTAAAGGAAAGAAATAGAATGAATTGATTGGATTATTAGACCTTAAATAACATTGTAAATTCACTTGTAAATAGACGACGTATTTCATTCGATCTATTAAGTTCACAAATAATGTCTTTGAGATGAATCTTTTGTTATAATATGAATTTGTCTTATCTTTTTCATCGTATATGCTATAAAAAATTTATGTTTGTTAACGTTAAAATATAGACTTTGAGGATTTTTGATTTGTTATTTATTTTAACATTCTCCTCCTTTTTATGGTGAGAAATAAGTTTTTGAAAAACTAGGTTTTTAAGCATATAAATTCCTATTCAAATTCAATTTAGATGAAGGTAGTGTATACAACGTACAAACAATCATGTTAGAGCATGGTCAATAAAAGACGAGAGAGTTAGGATGTGTGATCCTATCAATCAAAGAATATATGAACTTGCATATCATAAGTATAATCAAAGCAAATAAATTGTATATAAGCACAAGATACATAAGCTCTAGATGAATTGATAAACAATCCCCCTTAAGTTAGAAAATAAGTTTCGAAAACACAAAACTTCATATTTTCCCTTCTTTTGATTGCATAAAAACTCAATCTTGATAGGACTCATCAGTAGAGAATCTATATCAATGTTGAATTTTGTGGCACACTATTGCTTGCTAAGGCAGAACTCTCAGGTGGAGTGTAAAGTATAAGAAAAAAAAGATATCAAAAAGGTAAAAATGCTTTAAAACTAAAGTTAAAGGAAGATGGATAATGGAACACCCTTGTTGGTATGTATAAAGAGTTGGATAAATTAGGTTGGATTGATGGTGAAGGTAGGGCTTGGAGAACACCATGACCACATGCAAACATAGGGTAGAGAGGGAACTTTAACAACTACTACAACTTTAACAACTTCCAACATTATGTTAGTTTCATCTATTGGTGGATAAATGACAACTTGTTTATCAACTATTGTTCAACAAACAATGTATTTGGCGGAGTAGGCTCATAGGTTGAGCTTGTTGCACAGAGGGCTCAAATCGATCGTGATCTTCATTTAGAGGGTGGGTTGTTAATGTTAAAGATTGGGTTGTCAATGCAACATTGCATTCATAGTATCAAAAGTGATGGTTGCCTCCCAATCTAATCTTCATAGGAAAACCATCTTTATGTAGCGTCAAAAGGTTAAATCACTTCCTAAGCAAGAGGTTAGATTTAGGGCATTCCTCCATGGAACCTTTGGTCTTCTGGTAACTTCAATCCTCTTAGGTGTCATGATAGTTCAAATGAAGCTTTTGGTTTCTAGGTTTTTGTTTAAGGTTTTAGTTGAGAAAGTGAAAGGATGTGTAGAAAGAATTTTTGAGTGTAATAAATATTTATGAGACAACTATATGCATGTCCAATGTCCAAACAATGGTGCAAGCTTCTCCAATTTCCTCACAATGATTAGACATATTAAACACATGAGAATTTTTTTTTTGAGAATTTAATATGCATGATACGTTAATGATAAAGAGATGATGCATTAGTTTGTTAAACACTTCATTTTGAGTTGAAGCATTTTTAAAGATATCAACTAATTGATGATGTGTCTATAAACTTTATATTCAAAATACCTTTCTCATGAAAATCCACACAATGCTTTCTTTACTTTAAAATAATGATTTGTGATGTATGAATTTTTAAATCTGAGATTGTTTTGAATAAACTTTCCCTTCAATTATACCATTTAAAGAGACATTCTTCACATCTATTTCAAATATCTGTATATTTTTATGAGTTACAAGACTAGCATGATTCTTATAACTTCTAATCTAGCTAGGACAATTTTTTTGGTGAAATCTATATTGTCGTGCTAGTTGTAACCTTAAACTACTAATCTAACTTTCACATCAAGCTTGTTTCTAAGTATTCATTTGACTTTAAGACCCCACTTGACGTAACTTTATACATTAATGTAATCTATATAATGTAGTATTATATAGTTTTCAAACTTTACAAAAATTTATAGATTTAATTTATTTATTAAGAACTCTTAATTCAATGATTAAATCGTTAAAAATCAATGTAAAACATGAATTATTGAGTGAAATAATTCTAATAAAACTAAGTAGATCCATCTCTATATTTTATTCTTCTAAAATTAAATAAATTAAAAAAAAATATCTTCCACTCTATTTTTCTTTGGTTAAACAACCTCTATTTTTTACACTTTTCTATATATATATATATTTCCGCTTCTTTTCTACACTCTTCCTCTCTAACAAACATAGCATTATAGCATTAGTTTATGTGAATAGTGTTTCGCAATTTAAAATGACAAGTTTTTTCCTCAACATAATTTGAAATGACTAGTTACATATAGATGTGTGTATTTGAAACTATTTAATTCTGTCACCTTTAAGCTATGTGTTATTTGGCAAAAAAACAGGTGATAGGCCAAGTTATGGACCTTATGGTTGTCATCCGATATCTTCAAAGATGATTCAATCCTTTTATATGAATGTAACCCAAAGGATTGGAAATTTGACGATTTTGGATTAATGTCACATACGCATACTCTTCAGTAACACGTTTTTTTTTCTTCTTGTTTATCTTCTCTTGATTTGGGTTGTCCTATGATCCTTCTTAAATCAAACAGGGAACAAAGTATATTTTGATATTGTCTAGTAACACGTTTTTACAAATCAAACAAACTCTCAATCTCTTCAATCAAACACGCCTGCTTCCATATCAGAGTGTATAGTAGTTAAGAGTCATGTGTGCATATATGTAACAAGATTCTCGGAGTTAGTTACATGTTGAGTCAGCATGATAGCTAGAGTCACTGAGCTCTGTATATGTTGTTGTACCAACGATACCTTAGCACAAGTCCTTGATTTGAAGTGATGAATTGCTCTATAAAAATTAATTCAATACAAAATATTTGACAGTATTAAGTTTCGGTCAAGGGAATGTGTTTCTCGGTCCCTCATCTCATCACAAAGGCTTTAATTTAAATGCCTTGACTCTATTGACAGGATTTATACATCCAAAGATGTCTCAATACTCACCCTATGGTAACCAGCTCTAAAATTGGTAGTCTCAAGCCACAAGTGCTTATAGCACACATTGAACTTGTTATTGTTAAGTAGGCATTGGCTCACCCATAATGGCTCACAACAATGAAAGAAGAATATGTCGCCTTCCTCAATTTTGTTGCCCTCTCACCTACAAGCCATTGGCTACAAGTGGGTATTTCGCATTAAGTAAAATCCTGATAGCAGTATCAATAAATACAAGGTGTGCTCCATTGCTAAAGATTGATTTCATCAACAACTTGGTTTTGATTATACTGAAACATTTTCTCCAATTGTTAAACATGTCACCATCTGTTTTATTACTCACAAATGTCCATCCAACAAATTGTTGTCCACAATGCCTTTCTTAATGGGCAAGTGGTCATAACCTCCTAGTTTTGACACAACTGACAAGCCCTTGGCCTTATGGGCTTAAACAGACTTTTATAGCTTGGTATGATAGGCTCACTAATACCCTATTGTAGTTTGGGATTGTCTCTGGCCGTTGTGATCCTTCTCTTTTCATTCTCAAGAATGGGCATGCATGTTTATGTGTTTATATAAGTTGATGATATTATCATTACAGGTTCCTCCACTGCACTCATATTGAACCTGATTGCCAAACTTAAGCTCAGATTTGCTCTGAAACAAGTAGGGTCCCTTGACAACTTTCTTCTTGTTGAAATCAAGCATTTTCCCACCGATTGTAAGAAGATAATATCTCCAAAAGATTAAATATGTTTTTAGACCTTAAACTTTATTTTGATTTTTATTTTTAGTCTCCAAATAAATTTTACTAGTTTTAGTCCCTAAATTTTTGTTAATTTTCATTTTTAGTTCTTGAATTTTTCCTTCCGTTAACATTTTAGCATCTAGTGTCAAAATTGTTTTTCTTGGAGAAAAAGTTTAGGGATTAAAACCAAATAAAATTTGTTCAGAAACAAAAAGTAAAATTGACAAAATTTCGAGGACTAAACATATTTAATCCTATCTTCAATTTTTATCATAGGACTTTACGATACATACATTTTTACTAATGGAAATAATATCAGAAACCATTAAGGAAACTAAAATACCACTTCAAACTATTTGGTCTACAAATGGTTGCATGGAAGACATTATTATGAATATTTAGGTTTTGGATTTGCAAACAATTAGCAAACAAATTTCTAACAATGTAAGCTCAGAAAAAAAGAAATTATGGGAAGCTGAGGTACAATATTATCAAGGTCAGTGAACAGAACAAATAAAAATAAATGAGTCAACTAGAAAAAAACAAGGCAATGGAATCGCAAGTAGGGGGGTCGGTCTTAAGGCTACACAGGTAATAATGTTCAAGTCCCATACAAGGTTAGAAACATGTCAGAGATGAACTAGAGTCATTGTGAACCAGAGTCCCATAACCGTGTTGAGAGGAACATGAGTTATTTGCCAAGATAAATTTGAATTTCAGTTAATCAAAATGAAAGAAAAAAAGAATCATTATGTGGATTTTACTGGAGCACTTAAATTAATTAAGATTTGAGAGCATCTCCAAAATAACATAGCATATTATATTACATATGATATGACCTAACAAATAACAATTCAAAAAATAAAAATTAGAATTGAAGCTACAACCACAACAAATATAATAGAAAATAATAAAATACGTTCTGGAACAATGATCAATAACTTAAGTACTTGCAATAAAGGGAAATTTTTGGAGAGCAGAATTGTGACACCAAATTTGATAAACAAAGAAAAACGAAAAGGTAAATCAAATAACATAGAATCGAATTCCAAAATTGGAACTGACATTACTACCCTTCCAGGCTTGGAAAACCTGCAAACCACGAGATCCCAAACCCATCTACAAAAATGGACCAAGCAAATAGAAACAAATCAAATATACTGAACCTGAGTGACTCAAAATAGAGAAGATTTGAAGATCAGGTTCATTAATAGCAACATCACCAATCTCCTAAACGAGTGGTTGGCTTTTGTGCTCCAGTTTCTCAGCTCTGTTGATTGCAACTGCTGCTAGCAGCTCATTTGCCTGGGTGGCTTTAGATTGAAGGCCAGAGCGGTTATCATTTGTCTCTACATGCCATCAAATCTTCTAGCGATCCCTTCACCCTTCTTTTGCTTTAATTTAGTGACAATCTCATTCCCAAACACCCATCTTCCTTCTCTTTCTTTTTTATCCTTAAATCCCTAGTATCACTGCTGGACATGGACACCCACAACTCAAAGGATTAGGATTCTTCTTCACCTGCAATTTTAAAATTTTTCAAATTTTCACACAGGGACCAAGTAGCAAATTTTATTATAACAGATAGTATTAAGTAGCGGTAATAACTAATAAATCTCAACCAATCATTAATTTTTATATGTATCTAACGGCTTAAACCTTATGATGCATTCATTCACTATTTAATACCCACTCACTGTAGACAACCACATTATATAATAAATAGACGATTCCAAAGTTAAGTTTTAACAATGTGTACTAGAACAGAGAAGGAAAAATGAAAATCAAAAAACAGCCATTCAAATTAATATCCATGCTTTTACAAAATATCCATTAGCTGGGTGAGAAACAAATGTTGGAGAGGTTGACACATGCTAGTATCGGGAAAGACTTATTATAACTATCAACAAATTAGTACGGATGAAGTAAACAATAAGAGTCATTACATGTGCTACAAATTGTATTTCCCTCTGCAAGAATGTAATGTTCTGTGCTAGCTAGAAAATCTATCAGTTTAACATGCAACCTTTTTCCTTTAGATATTTGACAACTGAGAGAGAGGAGAGGTCAATCTGTCTTTCTATTACATGTGCGTGAGTGTACACTGAATTGCGAACAAACAATTTTGAATGAAAAATTGAATGAAGTACATTTCCTTCCATGTATTATGAGCAGCAGCTTCCTTTCCATTGAGTTAGTAAGCCTGGATGAAATTGCAACGAGCAATGGAAAGCCAGAGTTCTTTTTGTGTTGATGTCATCTTTTTAGGTCCATTTTGGATTTTAGCGCCAGTCACTCGCACCAAGGATCATTGTTTTAGGATCCCCATGTCTAGCTCCAAAGCTTATCCTCCTATGCAAATTTGAAAACTAATAAAATATCAATGTTTCAACATCAGAATGATATATAAATGGCTCCGACTCGTCTTCCATGTGACCAGTAAGATATGAAAGGCATTTATTAACCAGTTCTAGATGCAAGTGTGAATTGTCTTCAACAAAGAAAGGTACGATCTTCTGGTTAATTTCAATCCAACTACACCCTGGATTCTTCTTTAATCCAAGCTCTTTCATCTTTGATCTCACCATCCGCACTTCATCCCATTTATGTGCAGAAGCATACATATTTGACAATAGAATATAGGTTGATGAATCATCAGGATTCTTATCAATGAGCATTCTTGCAATTTCAACTCCCAGATCAATATTTCTGTGCAAACGGCATGCAGAAAATAATGTGCTTAACAATCCAACATCATCCCTGATTTCAGGGTTTCTTTGCAAAATCTCATACGCTTCATGCAATCTTCCAGTACGCCCAAGAAGATCTATCAAGCATGAATAATGTTCAACTCTAGGCATAATGCCATAAACATGGATCATTTGATTGAAGTAATAGCATCCTTCATCAACCAACCCAGCATGGCCACAAGCAGATAATATAGCAAGAAAAGTAACCCTATCAGGTTTCACATTGGACTTCAGCATTTCAGCAAAAAGCTCCAAAGCTTCATAGGCCTGACCATGGGACCCATAAGCAGTAATCATAGAAGTCCAGGACACCAGATCTCTTTCTGGCAAACATTTAAAAACACCAAATGCTTCATCTACAGCACCACACTTTGCATACATATCAAGGAGAGCTCCCATAACCACTTCACTGTTGTCCAAATTTCTCTCAGCAATCATATTGTGAATCTCTTTACCTTTCTCTAGTGCTGCTAGTTGAGAACAAGCTGCTAAAACACTGGTAAAAGTAATAGCATCCGGCTCAACAAAGGATTTTGTCATTTTACTAAAGAGGCCAAGGGCTTCAAAAAAATTTCCTTCAGCCACATATCCAGAAATCATAACATTCCAAAAAACTACATTGGACTTTGGTATTAATTTAAAAATATTTTCAGCCAACCCTACCTTTCCACATTTGAAGTATAGATCCATGAGTGAGCTATTAATAAAAACATCAGGCTGTATCCTGTTTCGTAGTATATATCCATGTACAAACTTCCCTTCTAGCAGTCGGGCTGATCGTGAACAAACCATTATTAAACTGCTTAAAGTAGTCAAAGTTGGCTTGACTCCTTCATTGTACATCCTCTTGAAAAGTTGAATGCATGAAATGCTGTCACCTTTCAAACCATATCCAGTAATCATGGAATTCCAAGCAACAATAGTCTTTTTAGGCATCTGCTCAAAAACCTTTATGGCCCTTTCTAGGTGACCACATTTTCCATACATGTCAACAAGAGCAGAGATAATGAAACTATCTAGAAGAAACCCACTATTAATTAATTCCTCGTGAATTTTCATTCCCCTGTTCAAATCCAAAAGTCTAGCACAACAGGAAATGGCAGTTGTGATTGTAACTGAATCAGGCTGAAATCCAAATCTTCTCATCATGCCAAAATAATGTAGGGCCTCTTTGAACTTTCCACTTTGGTAATTACAAGAAATCACTGTATTCCAGCATGCCACATCCTTTTCAGGCATTTCATTGAACATCTGTATAGCTTTCTCAAATGCATTGCATTTTGCATACATACCCACAAGAGAGCTTCCAACAACAATGTCCATCATTAAACCAGTTTTTATCAAACACGTATGTATCATTTTTCCCAAGACAAATCTACAGAGTCCCCCACAAGCCTTAAGAACACTAGGGTATGTATAACTATCAGGTTTCAGGTAAGGGTAGTGTAACAGTTTCTCAAAAAGCACTAGGGCTTCCACATACATGTAATTCTTAGTATAACCTGCCATCAGGCCATTCCACAAGGATATCTCACATGGGTTTTCCATGGTATCAAAAACACACTTTGCATGATCAAACAAATGGCAAGAAAGATATAGGTTAATCACGTTCTTGCATAAGAAAATATCATTTTGCAAGCCCAAAGTTACAACTTTCTGATGAATGAGCTTGCCTTGCTTCGGTGACTTGGAATTCATAGAAGCTCTCAAAAGGGGTAGTAATTTTCTAGTGTCCATTCATTCAGTAATGATCAGAGAGACACTACACAGAAACCATAATCATCAATCTAAAGCATGGGAAAAAAACAAATAACAAAAAACACAAATACAATCAACAAATACAAAAGGGTGGCGGAAACAAAAGGTGGAAGAGCACACTAACTTGCAAGTGAAAAAATGAGGGACACAGGCATAGTCATGAAGGCATAAAAAGTGCTGAAGGCTTGAACCTTTAAACCAGATTCATTTTCATGTCCCTGGAACTGAAAAAGAGTTCACCTCCACATTTTTAAATATGAGGTTTTCAGTTAGAAGTCTCCAAGCTTTTCAATCAGGGGTTCATATAATTGGAAGTGATAGCAAGATTGTAAAATGCTTTATTTGGTTTCTACTGCAAAATTTTCCTTACTGCTTTCAAATGTGTAACAATAGAAGAGGTTGTAATCATAACTTTTCCAGCCACTGGCATAAAGCCGTCAACTTCGGTTTCAGCCTTGAGTGGTGGCAGAACTCTGCCCTATTAAGAATGGCAGTTTTTAGGAAGGTTTAATTCCTCTAAAGTGGGAAAGTGAGGGTGCATTTTGATTTCAATTAAAGTATCTAGTAATCTTAACCATTAAATCAAGGATAGATGCACCTTTGTTGTTTTGAGGATGATATTTTAGCCTTTGGTTCTTTTATTATTTTTCTAAAAAAAATTACTTTTAATAATTTTTCAACTTTTGAAAGCATTTGTCTTTTATTACATTTTTTTTTTTTGGTTTATTACATATCACTTATATATGTTAACTACAGATCTATACCCATAAATTTCTTGGCAAAATTAATATTTCACAATCTAAGTATAGTTTATGCTTTAATTTAGTCTATTTAATTTCTATTTTTGTTTTAATGTTTTCTTACCATCACTTTTCTTTTGTTACATAATGAAGTTCTTATATGACTCTTACATGACTTCAACAGTGTAGTAGCAAAGGTCATTTGTTATGCACATTACATAGTAAGGTTATGCAGGAGGAAAGTTTCTTGTGCCAGGAATAGAACTGTTTTCAATGGTTCACAAACTGATTCAGATTTCCATAAACCAGTTCTGAACTGGTTTGGTTCCAACAACAGTTTTAAAACTGTTTCAGAACCAGTTTGGAACAGGTACTGAGGGAATGGAACCAGAGAGGTTATTGTTCTCCAAGGCTCTGCCAAAATAGGCAAACAGAAAAGTGTTAACAAAATTACATTACCCTTTCCTATTTTCCAACACCCAGCAACAAAGATTAATGAGCATATCAAAGTTCTAGCAGAAGTAAAACAGAAGAATACATAAATAAACTCTTCTTTTGAAAATACAAGTATTCAGTAAAAAAACAAAAGTGTAAACATACATGAGAAGCATAAGTTTCCTTCCAGTGTCAACACTATCTCACTGATGATATCCCTATTGACAGAGAGAAAAACCAACTAAAGCAATTCACAATTACAATCATAAGCCAAACGAGAATTAGGACTTTTCTATCACTATAAGCATACAAGAAGACCATCAAGTAATCAATTTCTATCATAACTAACCTAATTTCACTATATTTATGTTTTCATCAAATACCAATCAAGGACTAAATTCAAGTAAAGATCAGAAGCACAGTAACCGCATTCTGTAGCGAGGAAGAAGTATCACTACGGTTCAGTCTACAGAATAATGACGTCTCATTTGACTCAATTCAAAAAATAAGCTCAGAATATAGATTAAATTGTAGATTCCACATAAAATTCATTGTACATTTGCCACCAGAAAAAGAGACAGAGAGAGAATGCTCACCAGAGAAAGAGAGAGAGAGAGAAATTTGCAGCAAACAGAAGAATTCAAAAAATTTGGTGGAAACAAATAGATGAAGATTAGGGTTAGGATTGGTGGATGTTTCGGACTTGAGGAAAGGGTTGAAAATCAGAGAATGACAAGAAAAAAATAATTGGCGGAAGCCACTCTACTTTATCAGAGCCTGGTTTCGATCCAGGGACCTGTGGGTTATGGGCCCACCACGCTTCCGCTGCGCCACTATGTTGATAAGTTGATGAGCATATAACTATATATTCACTACTGGGTTTCATCCTGAACAACTACGCTACAATGCCTTTTCTGATACACCAATATGATTCTTATTTATTAATTAATTATATTATAATTTAACAGATAACAATAAATTTTTTTAGTAACAAAAAATAATTATTCAATGGTAATTGATTATGAAAATTTTGTTAATTTAAGTGATACTAAGCTTAATTTTTTAAATAAGATCGTATATTGATTGAAAGATGAGACATTATTAAAAATAATCAATCATATTTAAAAAAAAATCAATAATAAAACAAGTGAATAGTGAATACTAGATATGACAAGTAATATTTATTATGTATACTATATATTTAAAAATTATTTATTATAAATTTAGTTCTGATATGATAATATATTATAAATAAATGAGGTACCGCATTCAATAATAGCTTTTGATCTTGATATTTGATGGAACATTACACACTAAGTTATTAAGAAAAAAATATAAAATAAAGAATTTTTTAACAACTACTATCTTCTTTCGCATACAATCATACATTTTTAATAACTATCGGGAGTGAGCATAACCCCAATTCTATGGGAAAATTCGATTGGACTTATTTGGATAGATTTGGACTTGGAAATTAAATCTAATACATTTTTAAAACGATTCAGATTATGTTTTGGATTGCACAATTTTTTATTTTTTTTGGTTTTTGGAGTACCCACCGTCGATAACAGTGATTAATCTTCTCGCTACGTTGGAGGCACCTTAAAAGATGGGATAGCTGACCCCAAGATTTAACGCAGGATTTGAACCCCTGACCTTACTTAAGCGTGGATCAACCCCTACCACTGAATCCCTGACCTTGCACAATCTAATATAATATATAATATTCTCTTAAAAAAATAAATATTTTATTAAATTATTATAGTGATTTTAATTTAAATTTAATCATATAAAAATAAGGGAAAACTAATTTTTTTATTCTAAAACAAAAATCCCTAATTCCTACTGAGAATTGCACAAGGATTATAAAGACTTGGCCGAACCTCGGAAGCCGCAAGCGGAAGCAATCGCGACTCGCCGACACTGTTTCATTTCGAGTCTCTACTTGCATTGCACTGTTCATTTGTTGTGTCTGCTTCACGCTTTTTCTTCTTCTTCTTCTTCTTGGTTTGGAGGAGCCTGAGCCATCTCAGAAGCTTCTCGATCCCAACTCAAAGTTTGTGTTAGAAAAGCATTCAAAGACACTCAACAACTTCATGGCTTCCAACGATCGAGGTTAGCAATCTTATTCGTTACTTTTCTCATAATCTCGCATTGCTTCTGCTTTACTCCCTCACTTCACTTCAAATTATGCGTCGCATTCGGTTTGATTTATTATTCAAGCACCGACAACAAGATTTTGTTCTGCTTACTCGGTTTCTTTTAGGGGAAATAATTAGTATTGCTGTTATTTTTATGTGTGTGCGCGCGTATTGCTCGTAGAATATTTTGTGTATTTTGTATATATAATTTAGTTTGGTTTTTTATGCTGACTGGGTATGTAACCGTTTTGTCTGGTTGAGAAATTTTGAATTCTTTTGGGTAGTTTGTGAAAGCTCATTGACACTGGGCATTTTTGAAGGATGATATGTTGCTCATATAAATTTCTGTGGCTTGTAGAGGTTTATGTCGTATAGCTTTTATGAACATCTTTGAAGGATGATGTGTTGCTCATATAAATTTTGTGGCTTGTATAAATTTATGTCATGTAGCTTTTAGGTTTTGTGGCTTGTAAACGTGTCCATTCATGATCTGAATTTTGATTGCAGTGTACAATTTTGAAGATAAATTTTCCATTAAAGATCTTGCTCTAGTGGGGAAGTTATGCCAAAAAGTGGGGCATAGTGGTAAATTTCCTGGGTGAGTTCTAAGTGCAGCACAAATTAAATTTCCATATTAAATTGGATTTGTTTTCTTTCAGTTTTAAATATTGTTTTAATGATGTTAAGCATGCATTTTGCATAGGCGTGTGATTAGAAAGAAGACGTCCGTTCGCAAAACCAAAACCAAAACCAAAACCAAAAAGGAGGTTGACACTGCCAAGGATGTGGGTAGTCTTCCTCAAGTCACAGTTTTTGAAGAGTCAAATCAGGTATTGGGGTATTTCATGTTTGGCTTAAAGTCTGAGTATTATTGTATAGACTTGTTTTACTCTATGTCCATTTCAATTTTATTCATGTTGGCATGCCGGTGAAAATGCAGAATAAGGAGCCAGAGCCATCTCAGCATCAAAATCCCATTGTTGATGAATCAACAATGATTCAGATTTCCCAGACCTTAGAAATTTTTTTAGCATCAAATGATGAAGGTTTCGCTGACTAAGAATGCCAATGGGGTTTATTTGTTTCACATGGAAATATGATATGGGCAACTCTTATTATTATTATTTTTTCTTGAGAAATTTTTTTTTTATGATTCAGTGGTCTCTTTCTGAACCTTCCTGGTGAATTGGGCATGCATTTGGCTTATTGATAAATTTCAATCTTTCTGGATAGTTCATAAGGGCTCATAGACATTGAAAATCTTCACAGGATGATTTTCTATTGATATCAGTTTGTTTGGCATATGCGTATTGCATTAGTTATACAGTCACAGACTATTTATTTTGTCTGCAGTGTACAATTTTGAAGCTAACTTGTCTCCAGAAGAATGTGTTGCAGTGCATCATTTATCCCAGAAAATGGGGTTACGAGTTGAAAATTTTGGGTAATTGCTAACTGCCTAGTATAGCTCGTATAAATTTGCATATTGAAATTCCTTTAGTGTGTAAGAATTAATTTACATTTTTACTAATATATTTGTTTTATAGAGTTTTACATATTGTTTTCTTGATAATGAACCTGTGTTGTGTAGGAGTGGGATTAAACAGAAACTATCTGTGCACAAAATCAAAAATAAGATTCCCACCACTGCCAAGTTAGAGAATCTTCGTTGTTTCATATTTTCTGAAGAGTCAAAGAAGGTATTAGGTGGTTTATTAATGCATTATCCATCTGGTGATGAAGAACTTTGGGGAGACATGATTGGAGCATATAGTGACACTACTAACAGAATGGAACAAAAGGAAGATGATTTTTTCTGTCAGCCTTGTATGAGCAAAGTTGAAATTACTAACAAATTGGAGGACCTTTCTGCAAGAATGAAGAATCCCTCTGACTTGAAACTGGTGCAATTTTTGTGTTCTTTTTACACTGTATATAGACCTTGTATATGTATTTTGTTGGCTGGACTCTATCATATTATTACTCATCTTCTGTATATTTAATTCCTCATAGTAATGATTAAGTAATTTGCTTTCCATTCTTGCAGATCGCTGAGAAGAGATCTAAGCTTCCAATTGCATCCTTGAAGGATGTCATTACATCAACTGTTGAATCTAACCAGGTTAATTTAATGTTGAGTTTTGGCCTTAATAAAATTTTCATTGGACATGCATCTTCTTGGTAGCTTGGTTGCATATTGCAGCACAACATAGTAATGCTTACATGTTAAATATTTCAAACATTTTTTGGTTAAGATTTTGGTTTAACCCATTGAAATATAGCAATTTAGTTGGATTTGAATATTTCATGTTTGCAACTTTGCATGTTTCGGCCTTATTATCCTTTTCATTTTATAAAGCAGGTAGTAATCGTATGTGGTGAGACTGGTTGTGGAAAGACCACTCAGGTATTTGCTTTGTCTTTATTATAGTTTGTACCTTGTACGACTACATTTATGTAAATTTGTCATTGGGTCTGTTTCTAAATAATGTTTTTGATGTTATATTTATTATGATTGGTGCATTTCAGTTACCTTCTTGTTATGCTTATGCATGCTCTTTTTTAAGGGAGAAAAAAAAAACTGTACACTGGCTTTTTGGAACCCGAGATGGCTTGTTTGAAAATTTAAGTAGCCCAGACACTTTTAAATAGTGTCTGTCATGTTGTAGCTGTGTCAGCTATGTATCCTTATCAAATGCTACAAGGACACTTGAGTTTCTTTTTTATAATTTTATTTTTTAAACTTAGACCAATATCAATTAAAATACCACAATAATTGGATAAATTTTTGTATTTTATTATGTTTGTAATGAGGTATGCTCAATTTAAAAACTTGAATTTTTTCTTGTGATTTAAATTTTTTTATTTTATGTTAACTTTAGATTAATTTTAAATTTTATATTAGCTATTTTGTCTCATAAATTTTTAAAATACTTATATTTTTGTGTTCGTATCATATCATATCCGTATCCCACATTATATCTGTGCTTCTGAGTTGATAATTGAAGACACACTAATATGTTCTTAATGTTGTGTTTTGGAGTTTGCCCTACGAGAACTTTTGGCACTATATGTAGGCCTGGATCTTTCAATAAATGTTTGATTCTTTTAGAAATTATTTTCTTTCATGTTTACAATTGCCCATTTAACTTTTCATTATATATGATTCAGGTCCCACAATATATTTTGGATAACATGTGGGGTAAGGGTGAGGTCTGCAAAATAGTTTGCACTCAGCCTCAACGTATCTCTACAACTTCAGGTGTGCAACCTTAATTTTCTCAATGTCCCTGTGATATCATTTGTTAACAGATATGTCTTTGTCTGTTTAGTTTCTGAGAGAATCTCTAGTGAGAGAGGAGAGACTGTTGGAAACACTGTTGGATACAAGGTACTTTTATTTATGCATCTTTGCTAGTAAAGGTTTTGCTGTCCTTTTGTTCTGGATTTGAGTCATTTGGCAAATGAAGAGTCATTTGTTTGAACCTTGGACATTGTGATGATTGGGCTATTGTTGTGCTAATGTGATGTGGACCTGTAAATTTTCTTTTTATTGCATCTTTTGAAAGAGTGTCTTAAGAAAGAGTGTCTTAAGATTTTTTCATTAATAAATTAAAGAAGAATAAAATTTCCCCATGAATGCCTGTTTGTTTAATGGTATTCATGTGGTGCGGACACAAGACACATAATTTTTTATTGAATCTTTTGAAGTTTATTAAGAGTTTTTCATTATTAAGTCAAAGGAGTATAACTTTTCCCCTCAAATTCCTGTTGGTTTTATGGTTGTCATTGACTATTATGGCTGTACTTTATAATTTAAACTTGATTCCTGTTATTTTGAAACATGTTTGTCTGCAAATTTATTGTTTTGGAAAAATTGATTCTAAAAATTAGAATCAATTCTAAATACAATAGCTTTTTATTTTCTTGCTTCTCATCAATGCAATTCTAAATGCAGAATAAATTACAGTTTATAGGAAAAAAATTACTCTCATTGTCAGCTACCTAATTTTAAGAGAGCAATTATTGTTTCTCTAGTAATTTCATTCTTAAAAGTTGATTTTACTTTTTGTTTGGTGGAAGATTTTATTTTACCTTAACTGAAGAAATTCATTTCTTTTAAACTGAATTTTAAAATATCATTCCCAACACGGGTCAATTCCAAGGTTCAATTGAAATCTTGGTGATTTTATTTGACACTTTTTTGGTTTAGTCCCTGCACAAAAAATTCTCTAATTTTGTGCTTACATAAAAACATTTTACAAATTAGTCCTTTCCATTTTTCAATATTATAATTTTGTTAGAATATTTTTCTTATATGGTCTAAGGCTCCATTTGGAAGATCTTATGAATAACTTATTTTTGCTTATCTTATTCTATAAGTACTTATAAGAGTGTTTAGGAAAACTTATAAAATATCTTATAGGTATTCTATAAGATGTTTTGAAATTATTTTGATAAGTTGTCCAATATACTTTATTACTTAACTTATGTTGGAACTTATCGAGAAATATTCATATTCAAATCTTGATACTAATGTAAATATATTCTTTTTTCAATTCTTTCATTTAAAATCAGTTTTATAATTTTTTTTTGTTACCTCTCCAAAAATTCTCTTTGTTTTTGTTTTTCTCTCCCTCTCCAAATTTTTTTCTATCTCTTTCCCCCAAAATCTCATCTATTATAAAGAAACCATTGTTACTTTTGGTTCTGAAATAGCACAATATTTTTTAGTGAAAATCTTTGACAAAGGTATGTATTATGTAATATTTTTTCTTTTTTATTGTGAGTTTCATTTACTGTTTCACAGATCGTTGTTTCCACTCATCACATAATTGCTATTGTTGTTGATATTTATAAAATAATTATTTATTTATTTTATTCATGGTTTTATACAATATATGAAATTGATTTTTTACTTTTAAACATTATGATTCATAATTTTTAATCATGGTTATATATATATATATATATATATATAATTGATTTATCATATATTATTATTAATTTTCTTTTTTGTAAGCTAAAGGGTGTGTTTGGAAACTAGTTGAGTTGAACTCAATTGGAGTTGAAAAAACAATGCTACATTCAAGCTTTTATTTTATCTGTATTAAAATGTATGTTTTTTCGTTGAATGTGGTTTCAAACTGGTATCCAAACACACAAAATTTGTTGAATGGTGACTAGTAATTTAATTATTTTAATATTATTGTGATATATAATGTTATTTTTTTTTTAAAAAAATATTGTTTTTTTATAAGTCAAGATTTAATTTGTAATTTTTAATTTTTAAAATGACATTTTATAAGTGTTTAAATAATAATACATCCAAATATTTTAAAATTATATAATTGCTTATCAACATATATATCCAAACGCAACAATTTATTAAATTTTAAGCACTTATAACGTAAGTGCATAAAATTGCATAAGTTCTTATTACATAAGGGGGGCATTTGTTTTAACTTCTTTTTTCTTACAAAAGCGTTTTTTAAAGCTTTTTGATGTGTTTGTCTAAACTTTTTTTTTTAAATAAGCAGTTTCTTTTTTACGAATCAATTCCTGTCTTCTTCTTAAAGATTTTTTTTTTGAAAGCACTTGTTTAGAAACACTTGTTTTTAAGTTTAAACAAACAAACATGACTTATTAAATAAGATCTTAATTAAGCTGTTTATCCAAAAGTGTGTTGGATGTAGTAACCAAAGGATTTTTTTTCTTTTTCTTTTTACATGCAGGCACTAAAATGAAGTGTAAATGTTTCATATCTAACACTATTGTATCAATAGCAAACAAGGACTAATTCATAATTGTTTTTTCATATAGGGACAAAAATATAGAATTATATGTAGACACAAACAACCAGTATCAAGCTATGAAGCTTGGATACCCAAAAATGGAGAAGTATCGGTGTTGTACCCGTGTCAGATACCGATACTCCTCGGATACTTTCAAATACATATCCATACGTATCTAATCTTTTTCTCTGTTAGTTATTTTTTATCCATTTTTTTCTTGGATAATTGTCGGATACTTTTAGATACATATCTGAAGAGTATCCGAAAAGCTGGTCTTAAGCTTTTTTGTACAACATGTTTTTTTTATCATGCTGTGAATGGAATTGGAGTACAAACTTCTTTGAAGAAAATCAAAACGGATCCAAAAGGGTTAGAAGTTTTGGATTATGTGCTTTTCAACCTTTAACTTTTGTCTATAAAAGATGAAGGGTATAAAAAAGGAGTGACTATGTTGTGGGACATTGGTGGAGGTATGTATCAACCACTTGATGATGGTGTTGGACTTCTTCAATTGGCAAGTTGTCTCTTGATGAACCAAACTTTGAACTATTTTTTTTCGAGATGATGGTAACAGGAGAGAAGAGAGTGATACAATTAGAATTAGGTAGTAATTTAGTAATGATGCTTGAGTCATAGGCTATTGTTTTTTAAGTTCCACCAAAGGTGCTTTTATTGATATGGGCAAAAACTAATTCTTTTTTTTATGATCACAAATATCATTTTTGTAAATTGTGATCATCATAGTTATGAATTAATGAGAAAGAATTAATACCACTTTCTTTATCCATATTCTACACCTATATAAATTTTTCTTTAAAATTTTGTTAACGTCTCCAAAACTTATCGTATCCCAAATTTCAAAACAATTGTCGTGTCCCTGTATATCATACTTGTGTAAGACTAAGTATTCATAGGTGTCAAGTATAGGGAACAAAATGTAGAAATTTTTTTATGTAGAGACAAATGAAAAACAGTATCAAGTATAGGGACCAAATGTTTGACCTAACCTTATTTTAAAATTATTTTTTTGAACATCAACTCTTTCAAAGTCAATTATATTAAAATCTAAACTAAACAGTAATTATTTACCCTTTTTCTTTTATTTCTTTTTGGTGTGCCAATAATTATTTCTTTTACAGATCTTGTTCCTTTTTTTTTCCCCCTTGAAATTTCAGTACCCATTGTTAGCACTGATAACATTCTTTCTGGTGTAGCTTCACATGCAAATCCCATGTTTACACTTTACATATCCATAGACTGTTTGGTTTTTTTTTGGGCGGGTAAGTGAGTGGCTGGTGATAAAATATGCTGACTCATTTTTCAAAACAATATAGTTATGGTTTGAAAGCAGAGGTGGAAGGCAATCATCAATTGTGCTGTGTACTACTGGAGTTCTATTGAAGGTGTTGGTTTCTACAGGTTCCCATTTTCTGAAGACACGGTCTGTGAAGGATGACATTCCTTGCATTAGTCACATAATTATGGTACTTCATTAAATTTACCTTTTTCTAATCACATGTTAGAGCTCAAACATGGTGCTTAATCTTTGGTGAATACTTCATGTTTGTGCCCTATATTCTTATATTTTTTAGTTGTTAAGGTGGCTAGAAATAAATGTTTTCATATGAATAATTCCTCAAATGTGTTAATTAACTGAAACTTTAAATATGGCTAGGTAGACCTGCTAGTGTCTTTGGCATTAATTTTGGAAATTGTGGTTGAATAAATCTGCAGAGATGTCTCATGTGTTTTACAGTGAGTTGGTTCAAAACTTTGAATACGATGATCTTCATTTGTTGTTCAGGATGAAATTCATGAAAGGGACAAATACTCAGACCTCATGTTGGCAATCCTCAGGTAGACCATGTAAAGGGATTTTTGAGCTTTTCATTTTACAGTGTGATCCCATTAATATGAAAAAATATTTCTTGCAGCATAATTTGTTGTAAAATTGGGATGTAGTTGTTGGTGATAGTATGTGGAGATTTCTAGTTTGCAATGGATTAAATTCTATGCTGTTTACAGATGTTAATATTTCTTTTACAATATTTTATTAATTTCTGTTTCTCTGCTCCTGTTGCTTTCCATAATTTTGTTTATCTTTTCCTGTTCAGACCACAAATTATTCTTAGTATTTCATCTTGAGTTCTCTTCTCTATTAAAATCCACTTTTTAGTAAAAAAAAAAGTGTTGACAGAATAATAGAGTAAAATACTATAATGTGTGGGCTATAAGACAATGATTGCTTTATCCTATAACTTTTTGACATCATTTGTATGTGTCTAATATGTTTTAGAATGTGAGTTTGAGTCCAACTCAAATGTACAAACCAACATGTAAGGTGAGAGTTATTCTCCATTTGTATATTCTTTGTTTGTCTTCTCTATTAAAATCCACTTTTTAGTAAAAAAAAAAGTGTTGACAGAATAATAGAGTAAAATACTATAATGTGTGGGCTATAAGACAATGATTGCTTTATCCTATAACTTTTTGACATCATTTGTATGTGTCTAATATGTTTTAGAATGTGAGTTTGAGTCCAACTCAAATGTACAAACCAACATGTAAGGTGAGAGTTATTCTCCATTTGTATATTCTTTGTTTGTCTTATCTTTAGCCTATTTGGGACTTGGATTTTTTCTATTACACTCACTCATGCCCAACACTGTTGTGTTTAGTGTGTGGATAAATGGTTAGTGAACCATTTTAATGATCTAGGATAGGCGGGGCGTGAGTTTTTTCTAATATACCCCTTTACGCTTGATACTACTGGGCTTTGTGTGTATATAAATAGTAGGTGACCCTTTTAGCAAATTAATGATGTTAGAGATATAAAATCATTTTGTACTTCTGCTTAAATTCTTAAAAGTGTTTTGGTAAAATGTACCTTGATAGGTTGTATATAACATCATGCTGGTTTCTCAGCTTATATGTCTCTTTTTTTCTTTTTAACTTGTATGCAGAGAGATGCTCCCTTCAAATCCCCACCTACGTCTGGTCTGTTCAATGTTCTTATGTTTATCGTTTATGTATTATTTATTTTTGATCCAGTCAATTTACTATTTAATTCATAATTTCATATGCATATCATTTTTCAATTTTTACTAATCTTTGTAACCTTTTATCTTCCCTCCTGTTGCTGTGATATTACAGATACTAATGAGTGCTAGTGCTGATGCTGCAAGATTTTCTCAATATTTTGGCGGCTGCCCAATTATCTATGTTCCAGGACTCAAATATCCGGTACCTTTACAGTATTCTTGTGAATTAACTAACAAATTATCACATTTGACTGCCATGTCCATGTTAGATTAATATATATATATATATATATATATATATATATATATATATATATATTGTATTTTTATTGTCTTGTAAAGGCGTTTTTTTTTTCTTTTCTTTTGTTTTTTTTTTAATATTTTCCACTGTTGTAGCTGATTGTCACAGGGATACAGACTGCAATCCATCCTTTTTGTCTTATTGTACCTCTGTTTTTAAATTAATATATACACACATACTCTGGTGCTGAGTGAGTTGAGACCTGCGCTTTTATTCAAAACTCCTAATCTCAAGTGTTCACTTGCTCTGTTGTCAGGTCAAGACTTACTACTTGGAGGATGTGCTTTCTATTGTAAAATCTGGAGCATATAATCACCATGATAATAACCATGAACTTAGTCAGGCAGAAAAGTTGTCTCTAGATGAAGCAATTGATTTTGCTTGGTCTAATGACGAATGGTGCTCACTGTTAGAGCTTCTTTATTCTAAAGCTACCTCAAAGGTCTTTGATTATCAGCATTCATTAACTGGCCTAAATCCATTAATGGTGTTTGCTGGAAAAGGTAAAGTGGGTGATATGTGCATGCTCCTATCTTTAGGGGCAAATTGCCTTTTAAGGGCCACAGATGGAACAACTGCACTGGAGATTGCTGAGAAGGAAAACCAGAAAGTTGCCGTTGAATTGCTGAAGAAGCACATGGATAATGATTTTTCCAACAAAGAAGGGAAAATTTTCATAGATAAATATCCTGCAATTGTCAACCCGAATGTTGTCAATGTTTTCCTGATAGAGCAACTGATAAGAAAAATATGTGTTGATTCAGAAGATGGAGGCATCATCGTTTACCTTCCAGGTTGGGATGAGATAATTAAAACACGTGAAAGATTGCTTGCATCCCCTTTTTTCAATAAAAGATCAAAGTTTAGGGTCATATCTCTGCATTCAATGGTTCCAGCCATTGAGCTAAAGAAGGTTTTTATGCCCCCACCCCATGGATGCCGCAAAATTGTTCTCTCTACCAATATTGCTGAAACTGCAGTAACTGTCGATGATATAGTGTATGTCATAGACACTGGACTTGTCAAAGGAAAAGGTTATGATGCTTACAATAATGTGTTAACTCTCCAATCATCTTGGATTTCAAAAGCAAGTGCTAAGCAAAGAAAGGGATGTGCTAGTCGTTGTCAACCTGGAATTTGTTACCGTCTATATTTAAAAGTTCAAGCAGATTCCTTGCCAGATTTTTTGGCACCTGAAATTAAGAGAATGCCTATTGAAGATCTCTGTCTGCAGGTATCCATCTTCCCCAGTTGATAACTCAAAAGTTGGTGTTTTTAATATTCCATGATAAAAGGATAAAATTTTGTATAATCACCAAAAAATGTAATGTTGAAAATATACAAATATGAAGAAAAGAAATGGTTTTTAGCTACACCAGAGAATTCACAATGATTCTATGTTGGGTGATCCCAATGGGCTGGGTTGTTTTAGCTGAAGGAGTTATACTTAGTTATTAATTGTTAATTATACTTTTGTTAATATACACTAAAGCTGCCCCTTTCAAAATTTTGAGAGCCTGAGTTTTCTCCCCAAACCAATTTTCAAGCTAAAACTGAATGCCACTAGTCTTTTATACCATCTATTTATATAGCCTAAAATGCCCATATTTTTTTATAAGCCCTACTTTACCCTTTCTATTAAAAGTGTAACTAACTATTATTAACTCACTGTAACTCCCAAATAATAGAATTCAGCCCAGTGGCTTACCTAATATTTTACCATCGACAGTTATCCATTTATGTTAATCTTGAGTATATCGTGCAAGTTTGGTGCAACTTCCATATTAGGTTGTGAGAAGCAAATAGGTAAAGTCCCTATGACTTTGTCTATTGGAGAAATGCCCGAAGATTTACACTTGGGGGATGAGTTGGATTTGGGAAGGGATTGGAACAGAACAAAACAATCTTTCTGCTCATTTGAAAGATTAATAAAGGAATGGTATAGAACTCTGTTATCTTGCTTGAGAGTTAAATCATAAAGGAAATGAATGAAATGTCAAATATCTCTTTGATAACCTGTAAGCGTCTTTCTTTCATTCTTCCCCAATTTTAAGGTAGCAAAATTTTGGTATTTCAGAACAAAGGGGGGTTATTTCTGCTCAAGTATGTTACAATTCCAATCTATTATTGAACACCCAAACAATGGGAGATTATTCTCCTTCTCTTATTACTTGTCAGGCTGTCACCCAAGCATTTTAAGTGTAATTTCTTCCTTATCATCATGCATGGGTTATAGATATAGTTTGTTTAAGCGTTGTACTCCACTACTCTGAAGGGTTTTTTAGAGTCTCCTTGATAAACAACTAAGATTGAGTTTTAATTTCTTTCTTTGCCACCCTTTATATTTTTTGTGTTTCTCACATTTTTTATGATTTCTTTTTCCCTCAACTATTGTATTGACCTACAGCTTCATATTATATCTCATAAAAAATATAGGGTGTAAATGAATTGAGACATAATAAGTACAAAATTTCCCTCATGTTATTTGGTTCTCCTTTTTTACTGTGACAGGTGAAGTTGCTTGATCCAAGCTGCAAAATAGAAGGGTTTCTGAACCGGACATTAGATCCTCCAGTATTTAAGTCTATACAAAATGGTGTTAGAGTTCTTCAAGAGATCGGGGCATTGTCAGTTGATGAACAGCTCACCCAGCTAGGGGAGAAGCTTGGCTCTCTTCCTGTTCAACCATCAACTAGCAGGATGCTTCTCTTTTCCATATTGATGAATTGCCTTGATCCAGCTTTAACTCTTGCATGTGCATCTGAGTATACAGATCCATTTGTGCTTCCGCTTTTACCTGATGAAAAGGAGAGAGCTGCAGCCGCTAGATCTGAGCTAGCTTCTTTGTATGGGGGTTGTGGTGACCAGTTTGCTATGATAGCAGCATATGAATGCTGGTATAATTCAAAGAAAATGGGTCTAGAATCACGGTTTTGTTCTCAATACTTTGTTTCTCAAAGCAGTATGAAAAAGTTATTGAACATGCGTAAGAAATTAGTGGAAGAACTATATCGGAATGGGCTTATTCATGGGAATGTTTCAAGTTATTGCTCAAATGCCCATGATCCGGGTATACTTCAAGCTGTTTTGGTAGCTGGGATGTATCCAATGGTTGGGAAATTGTTTTTTCCTCCCGGAAGTGGAAATAAGTTTTTTGTGAAGACTAAAAATGGCGATGCTGTTTACTTGAATAGTCATTCTGTTAATTCTATTTTGTCATCTCAGAAAAGTTTTGATAGCTCTTTAGTTGTATATGAGGAGATTACGAGCAGCTCTCAGGGCATGTGCATACAGAGCTGTACTGTTGTTGGACTACTTCCATTATTCCTGCTTTCCAAAGAGATTGCAGTTGCTCCCGCAAAGCATTGTACGGAAGGAGATGAGTTTATGTCTTCTCCTGATAATTTAGTTAGAGTAACCATAGATCGGTGGCTTAATTTTGAGTCAACAGCACTTGATGCTTCTCAGATGAACTACTTGAGAGAGCGATTATCAACAGCTATTTCATATAAAGTAGCCCAATATTCTCTTATAGTTTTACTTTCAAATTCTTATTTAAAACCACCTTATTCCTTTTCTTTCAATCTGTTTGATATATTTGTATATTTCAGGTGACACATTCAACAGATGTTCTTCCTCCTGTTCTACGGACTGCTGTGGATGCCTTAGCTTGCATTCTGTCTTGTCATGGACTTTCTGGCATACCAGGGACCTCAGATTGTGTTAACACACTGAATACTACTATAAATGCTTCCAATCCAAAAGAATTCCGAGAAGGGCTTATAAATCAAGATGCACTCCAGATCAATCCTTCTATAGTTAAGGTATCTGAATCTGAGGCAATCCAAAATCCAAGTAACCAAACTAATCAAAATTCTCCAATTGGTTTGGGATGCTCAACCCCAACAAAGCAAACAGATAAGACTCCAGAAAGATTCTGTTCAGCGCTTATAATTCACAATGACATGCCTTCTTCTGGAACTAGCATATCGGCATCCTATGATGCAGAAAATCCAAGTCATCCTACATGTCAAAACGCTACAAGTTCAGCTTGCTCAGTCCAGTCAGCACATATAAATGATGATGTAACCATGACTGATTTGACGCCTTCTAAAGATCTAAATTCAATTTGGTGGGATGCTTCAAAAGGTATGGGGTGAAGTGGTAAATCTTTTTTTTTCCATTGTTAGTTGATGAATATGATTTTATGCTGTGGTCTGGAAGTAGATTTGCAAACACAGTATTGTAGATTTTTAGGTCTCCACAATTGCAATTGGGTCTCCATCAGCAATGTTTATCCACATTTTGTTACCATATTGCTCATCATGGGTAAAGGTATAATTCTAATTGTACATTTACGGGCAATTAACAGGGGCTCACTTCCGCAAGATTGCAGTTGGGTGGACCTTTCCTGAGAATGGATGGGTCAAGGCTAATGTAGACGGGTCCTTCAGGCCTCAGAATCGTCACTCTAGCTGTGGAGGAGTTTTTCGCGATTCCACGGGTTCTTGGTGCTTTGGCTTCGCACTGAATCTTGGAGCCTTGTTCTGCGGGTAACTTTTTCTTAAATGAAGTCAATTTGAGGATACACTTAGGGTCTCTAGTGTGACTTTCGTTATAGAAAAACACGTCTTTATTAAGTGTCACAAACTGCAATTTCTTATTTTTTTTTCCCCCTTCATTTTGTGTCAGATCAATTGGATCACCGAAATTTTTGGATTACGTGGTTATCTTTTCTGAACTGTGGGGTATCTTCACTGCCCTCAAGCTTGCTAAGGAGAAAGGTATTTTGAAGCTGTGGGTCGAGACTGATTGCAAAGAAGCATTGAAATATGTTTTTAATAAACGGTCAGTGAAAAATGTTTATTTTGGTCCTCTTGTTCGTTCCATAGTTAAGTTGATGGAGGGAGATTGGACAGTTCAACTTTCCTCTTGTTATCGTGAAAGAAACAACGTTGCTGACTGGTTAGCTTCCTATGCGCATACAATCGAGGTGGGTCTTCATGTGTTTGATGCCCCTCCTCCCGGTTGTGTCAAATACTTAACTGAGGACTCTGCTGGAGTTTCTAAATTCCGTACTGTACGTGTTGAGCAATAATTGGGGCCATGTTCCACCTTGAGTGTGAAAGCCATATATTGACCATTCATGTTATATGGCTGATATTAATTCTTCTCACACACTCTAGGTTGTCCCTTGTATAGTATTTTCATATTGATTGGAAATTTTTGCTAGGAAATCTGCTAACTTAGAAGATTACCCTTTCTTGTGGCCAGCACGGAAATGAGGTCTGGCTTTTTCACATGATATGATCATGAAGGGAGGGAAACACAAGCCAGGACCCTACTGTTTCGCGGAGGCTACAAAATTTGTACGGAGTTAGGGTCCTATGTGTCGTCTTTCTCTCTTCCAATATTATGTGAAAACTCACGGTATTCATTGCCAGCAAATACCCTTTTTCTATATCTGCAAAATCTATTTTCCATCATTTTCTTTGATTAATTAATTACGTTTGTCCTTATGGTCAATCAATGGATGCCGTATGTGGAGCGAAAAATAGGAAGAGTGTACAACCATCAAAATCTTGCAACACAGGGTATTTTTACTTTTATTTTTTTGTTGTTTGTAAGGAATACTGAGATTTGTTATTCATTTAAAGGATGATATTCTTTTATAAACAATCTTCCATATGCGTGTTTGAGAATTGAATCTTTGATAAATGCTTTAAAGGACATAATTATTTGAAAGATAAGTCAGGGATTAATTTAGATTTGTTATTCATTATTTTTCCTATTGTTGTTCGGATGGAAATTCGTTTAAAAAAATCGAATTAGAGTTTGGTATTTTAAAAAATACATGGAGATCAAAAAATATTATTTTTATTTGTGGGAATAGTAATCTCAATGGTATAGTGGGTTCTTTTTGAGCGAATAAGCAATAGGGTTTTTCAACTTAGCAAGGTATTGAGCTTAGAGATTAAATATTTCAGATAAATATAAATATAAGATAAACAACACAAATCGATAGAAATGATAATGAACATAGTTATGAACACAAATCGATAGAAGTGATAATGTATTATAACATTGCTAAAGATTATTTATATAAAACAATAATATTTTTTTGGGTTTTTGATTAAAGTATGTATTGATTAAACTCAATCAAATAAAACTTGGTATATTTTTAGATATTTTTATGTTGATGTGACTTAACATATGAAAACATTTAAACAATTTAGAAGAGGTCACAGTCACTAATATAACACAGCATTGCCAACTTCTATAAGGGGTCAAAGGCAGGAGGAGTTATAAAAGTTGAGTGTGCTATAAAAAGGAGTCAGAAATTATATGAAGAAGTTATTGAAAAACGTAAAAAATTAAAGACAGACGAATTTGAGAATGAAGAATTACATTATTAGCAAGTTCCATATACTATTTTTCAGGAATTTGTGGTAATTCGGTGAGTGATGTTTGAAGTGTAGTGTAGAGTGTGGTAACAAGAAAAAATTGGTTAAGATTCTCATATATATAGTTGTTTTGGTCTAATAGTTAAAATCTAGGATTTTGACATTTGTATAATAACTTCTCCTTTATTATTATAAGATGTTGATGAGTTTTTTTGGAAGTTACATGTCATAATAAGTTAAATAAATTCTCTTAATTGTTGGTAACTATTTTGCACTTTGTCATGTTTTTGTGACAAGTATGTTAGCAGATTATTAAATTATTATTTTTTAAAAATAAAATGATAGGAGATAATACTCTCATAATTATTGGGTAGATAGTCAATGACATGTTGGAGATTCTTATAATCAAACATCACTATTCACTTAGTGGTTAGTCAAGATTCAGCAGTATTTAGTTTAATTTAAAACTTTACTTATCAAACTAAGAATTAATAGAAATCTACTAAAAGAATTTCATATTTAGTGTTAAGAGATTTCTTTGAGTAAATGTACCTATCAAAGTAGGATTTTATAATCGTAAGAGGTGTTAAATTTATATTATTGGATATATAAGCTTAAACTAGATATTGTATCATTTATGTTAACACATTGAGTTTTGTCAAATTGTTTGAAAAAGTATAAATATGTTGATATAATTTTTAAAGTTTTCAAATAGAATTTCTTGAGATTTGTGATGCTAAAATTTACTCCAAATATTTTATACTTTTATCGAATCATCCCTTTTTCTTACGACATAAATCATGACAACTATCCAAAATTTACTTTAATTCCTTTTTGAGATTGTTGCAATAAAGAGAACAACACTTACGTTATTATCTTCAACATATTTTTAGGGTTTAGGGTTTAGGGTTATTATCTTCAATATCAGTAACCAAAAATACAAGGCCCACGCATGATAGTGCGCCTAACATGGTTCTCCCCACGCCCGGCGTGATTCACCCAGGGATTTCCATTCCAAATAGCGCCCAGCGCGACTAGCCTCGTGCCCGGCGTGATTTGACAATGGTGGTCCCTGATGAATGCACGCCCGGTGCCAAGAACTGCGCTCGGCGCATGTATAACTAGAAACCTCCGAAAATTTCAAAAATTCCTTCCCAACATGAACCCATTCCAAATTACACGAGTTCAAACCATTATAAAGCATAAACACTATCCAAAAATAACATATTAAGCGATAAAATCAAGTCTTAACTATTAATCCATGGAAATCATGAAGAAACCCAACCAAACCCTTTCCACTCAATCCAGCCTTAATCATGCATAAAACATGGAATCAATGTGATATTTCAAACCCATACATACTAGATTAAGTCTTATAAGTACTACCCTTACCTTAGAAACCTCAGAAATGCAAGGTTTGAACAAAACTCTTAAATCCCAACTCAAACTTTAATCCCCCTTTTCAAGGATTTAGAGGTTAAATCTCTTGAAACTCTAGTTGTGAAGATTGATCCTGGCTTGATAAGCTTCCCAAATGTGTCCTCAGCTTCCCTCCGGACCAGAGCCTCTCTCTCTACTTTCTCTCTTTAAAAATTGTCTCTGTTTGACAAATGAGATCCTTCAATCCTAAGTCCCTATATATAGCCATTTTTCAAAATTTCCAAATTTTACCCTTAGCACCTATTTACCTCAAATACCCTACTCCTTGCAGTATTTCAACCCCCTAAGCTCTAAAACAACCTCAAATTTACTTAGAAAGACTAGATTTATCTTATGCTCCTATCCTCCAATGTCTTATCATTCCTATTCCTTTCCATGCAATACTCACAATTCACTACCCTTTGAAGTACAACATGTATCAACATACAAACAAACATCACGTTCATATACATACTCATGGAATAATGAGTTGCATGCCATAATATTTCACTTAACTAAGATGAGAAGGAAGGTGATCAGTCTTCTTCCCTCTTAGTACCAATTCAGTATAATAGTGTACAATGCATCATTCACCACATTCAGGATACACATGCTTGTATAAACATCTCAAAACATCAACATCTCATCTCATACTACAAAATCACTACTATATCCAAACAACCAATAAAAATTACTTAAACATACAACATGCACAAGATAAGTACATTTCAAATCCACACCTCCAAATCCAAATAAACAACATGCACATATATACATGCATATATATACATACATACATACATATATATATATATACATAAAGTATATCTACTAACTAGCCCAATGTTTCCATGGCGTTACACTATCCCTACTCTACTCTCATACCAAATATGATCATCTCAATCCAACCACATGGAAATGAAGAATAGTAAGTTAGAGTTCAAGATTCAACACAATTAATGGTAAATATGAGCAACAACAATATAATTCCATATTCAACTAAATTCCACGTCATAACACAATCAACATTACCACTATTGCATATGATCAACACTACTAAATCAACATAGCATATGCACAACCATCAACTAATGTGTCATCATGCATTTCAACTATGGAGATCTCCTACAACATATGTGAGCAGTCTAAGTGGCTTGACCTTACCAAACTAACAACACAAGGTGATTTTTTGGGCTTGTTAGATCAACAAATTTTTTTTATATAAATCCACAACACAACATAGTTTATCTGATGTCACCACTTAAACTAGGATGTCTAGTATTCACGTTAGGATAGAACAACTTGGATATGAGTTTACCACAACATTAGCTAGCTTAACTAGGCCTCCTATTAGATAAGTTCATCAACAACCCTCCAAATACTACATCCCTTTGATACTTAGTTAGGGACTAAGTTCTTGACTTTGTACTTTACTAAAGTTGGCACTTGTAATTAATATAGTTTGACCTTACCCCTATACTTTTTTGTTGCTTTATACACGTATGTTTTGACTTTGCCCACATACAATATCAATTAAGGTCTTAGAGGCAACTCCACTATCCTCTTCAAGTGTCAGCTTTCCAAGAAGGGTTGTTCAACAAATTAGGCTCTTAAAGCACCATAACACAATATTCTCACAATGGAATATGCAACTTTTAAAACAACTTCTCCTCTAGTTTCAAGTTGATCAACACAACTTTCAACACCATGCCTTCAACATTATCAAATTCATCATCTCAACAACATACGACAAAATGCATCAATCATATTCAACACAATTACTCAACTAAATAATATACAACTCAACTCAACTTTCAATTAGTCATCATCAATAAACATTATTCTAGATCAATCTATATAGCACGAACAACACTTATCAACTTAAAAAACATTCAATAGATTAATCTACTATACTCATTTTCACCATTTGTGAAGTTAAACAACAAGTTTTATCAAACAACCAACACCCGACCCCACTCACCTAGTGCATGACACCATCAAGACAAGGAACTCTCTGTCTTGCCTATGCCCAACTTTGCACAACTCATGCTCGATGTGGATAAGGTAGAGGCCCCTAAGACTTCACGCCTAGTGTGGCAAAGTCCATACTTGACCTCATTTTTGGCAGAGTCTCTACATGACTCTTGCCCAATGTCACCATACTAATGCTTAACGTAGTCTACGTAGAGATTTTTGGCCTGACATCACCAAGTTAGAGACCTTTACTCTCACATCCGATGTCATTCAAATCACATCCAACATCGTTCCAACCCGAGGCAAATCTCTCTCCTCATGTCTAGCACCCAATCCTACATTTGGCATGAATCGAGAGATAGGCCTTTAGTTGGAACTAAGCTTGGTGCCATGAAGGGGCGCCTAGTGCAACACGAGTTTTACTCTTATGCAAATCATGAATTTTTCTCAATCTACCTGAAACTCAACCAAAACAAAACATGCAACACACGATATTGTTTCTACTCAACACAAGTAACTCATTTTCAACAAGAAATTCAACATGCAACCAAAAATCACCATAAGCCATCAAATTCACCTTCTTAAACCCAAAACCCCAAGTTCAACTATAACCATCAAAATCTTGCAATTTCAGCATGTAACTACAATCATTTAACATCTCAAACATAAAAATCAATCGACCAACAACCCAACAATTCAACAAACTCAAGAATATAGCTTCCCTTACCTCAAAAGTCTCTAAGTCGAGAAAAAGAGGAGAAGGAGGAAGAAGAAAACAACTTTGAGTAGATCAACAAATTTGATTTAAGGTTCTACAAACTTGAATGAACAAACAACAAAACTAAGAATGAGATTTCTAGGGAAAAATCACCCTATAAGAGAAGAATTAGGGAAGAAGAGAACTC